GGTACATTCCCACCTTAATAAACATCGACAAAATAGTTTGTGCGGGTTTGCGAAATGGAGGGGGAAGATATATCGCCTCGCTCTTTTGCGGGGTTCGTTATATCGCTGTCAACACATCTTAGTTAGTGAAGCCGAAATGAAATTAAAAAAAAAAAATATGAGGACTTCCCCGAGCTAACTTATTATGTAAATATGAGTTTTAGTGAGGGCAATACAACATTCACAAAGCGTCTGCTTGCTGGCTGCCTTGCAACGAGATCACTGTGCCCAAAACGGTGTGAGTATTCTCAAGACAACACTGGCAGGGGGTATGATGGGTGATTAACATGCATTCCAACTGCCATGGCTAAAATGAAAACTGCCGTCTCAGCTTCTTTTCCTGAATGTATAATATACGAATCTTGCATATGATGCTCACGATGCCTCGGACATGCAAAGAGAAACTAACACAAAATAAAATTTAAGGCAGTCGGTGTATGGATATAAATTGAGCTTTCATTGTCTAGCAAAGCAATTTCTGTGAATCATGTACCGCTTTAGTCATCTGGTATCGATGAGCTGCAAAGTGTCTCGAGTGGTCCGTGTTGCTTGTTTTATTCGCTTCTGCGCTTTTTGCTATAAAGGAAATGTTAACTTCGTATTGTCTGGAGTAACGAAACATACGGTCGTTTTAAACTTATGTGAAAGAATTGCTCACAGTCAAATAAACCTCTCTTACTATATCCTCCCATTTCTTGCTGTTGAAGTGTTTTGTGTCTTTGTTCGGTTAAAACCGGACTAACATCCTTGCGAATTTCCTGCACCACTCCCTACTAGAATACAGTGAAAAGCCAAGGACCTCCTGAGAATATGATGCATACCAATTCTATTTCTCTCTTTTTCCACCGAGGCTGTTCTTCTATTCGAACAAAGGCCGAAATAGGCTCTGCATCAAAGTTGGTTCTAGCTCAGACCCCGCGGTAAAATGCCGAGTGCACTGAAAGTTATCCCCACCTTGCTCCTCGAGGCACCGGTCCCCGAAACCCGTGAGGGGTGGGGGGGCAGGGGTTTTCTTGCTTTCCTTGGAATCCGGCCACGTCCACCTTGAACAAAATATAGCGACAGCGCAGCAGCAGAGGCGGAGGAACGCTCGGCCTCCGACACACCGAACCACGCTTCATCTCTTCTAGAATCCACAGGGGAAATTTTCGACATTTCGCAGGGCTGCTTGGGACGACGGTCAGTCCAAAAGGCGTCTCCGCAGCGCTGTTGACCTGCTTCCGGCAACGTGGATTAGCTGCCGCTGACCATAACGTTATCGCGCGACTGAAAAAAGATCCTTCCACTCTTTTTTGTTCTCGCGAGTGTCCTAACAAGACTGGCATCTCGAGGAAGCTCGCTTATCGGGAGTCTCCAGACGGATCCGTGCCCGTTTCTGAGAGGTCGCGTCTCTCTTTTGGAGTGGTAAAGGAAAAAATGCTGACGCCTCCTTCTCTGGGCTGCACTCCCTATTGGCCTACCCTTCGACCTTAGGTTCTTTTTTTTCTTTTTTGTATGGATGAATTTTAGTGAGCTTGCTTAGATTGCGAGAAAAGTTTGCCTCCCGAATACGTTTTTCGGGAGTGGAAAGGGAGCCAAATTATCTTACCAATACTTTAAAATCTAAATTGGCGTTGAATGGTGATTCATCTCCCTGAGGAGAAAAGAAGGATTGCTGTATTTTGTGCTGTTTGTGGCCAGATGTCCTGGTGCCGCCCGCGGGACTTGCTGCTTGTAATATCGCGCCAACAATGTAGTTGATTTGTCCTGTGTGCAGTAACTTGCAGTCATTGAATAGCAACGAGTTACAATCTCTAGACTGAAAAAAATCGTTAGACCAACCCTACAAATGAGAACATATATAATGGAATTTCCATCTGACTAGACTGTATAACACGCGGAGCCATAGCATCAAATATGAGTTTGCATCGCTCTACAATTATTACCCGCGAGACTGTGTGAAATAAGGAGGTGGCCAAACGACCACTGAAACCTGCCGCGGCAATGCGACCGTGTTGTGTCCTTCTGGCGGCTTCTCCTCGATAGGTAAGTCGGCCTTACGATAGATGGCGCGGCGGCATACGGAAGGCGATGAACTTCGGTTTGTATGTAAATGTAATAGCATCCTCGATCATCCGCACCGGTGCACACCGGGGCACTGAGGTGCGCCCCTTCATCTTCGATCAAGTGCACCGGTGCGCACCGTACGTCCTCGTTCAACGAAGCGCACCCTCCTGGTGCTGCTTTTCGTTGCCCCAACGCGCACCAAGAAAATCGGCGGTGCGCCGGGGGGCAGTCCCATCAGGCATTGCGGCCAGGAGCGGGAATCGAGAAGATGGCGGGAGTAGCAGACGCGCAGACTATCGAGATGGCGATCTTGCAAAAACGAACACGCCTTGCAGCTGCACTAGATGATTTCCTCGGGTCTTCTGACGGCGAGGCGACGAGCTTCTCACCATCGCCGCGATTACTGGCGATTGCTGCGGTGGCAAGGAGCGCCCGAAAAGCACGAACTTCGTGGAAAGCGGCGCGAGGCGTTTCGATGACAGCGAGGTACGGCTATTATCTGGTGTTTCGTTTTCTTGAACTAATAATGATGATTGTCACCCCCTTCGTGACCCCATCGACAATCACGTCCACCATGTTTATTTCTGTAGGACCGTCAAATCCGCGAGTAAAAAAAAAATAGAAGAAATTGACAGCAGACGGGCACCGTGCGCTGACCTACGCAAAATAAACGAACAAAACGCGAAGGGACGCAAGGTGGAGCTCGCCGCAGTGCACCGGCGCGGCGCAGTTTGTCCTCGATGTTGCACCGACATCGAGCTGCACGACCGAGGAGCGCTGTGCACTTTGCTGGTTTCAGGGCGATTCCGGTGCGAGTTGATCGAGGATGCTATAAGAGGCCACGCTCCGCATCACCGATTATAATTAATTTGGAGTGCACTTTACTAAATCCTGGCAAAATAACATTTCCACGCAATTATTTACTTACATTTTCCTTAATTTTGATGCATTTTCCGAATCGCACGAGCGTCTGGCAATGCGAAAGCGTCTAGGAGACGGTTGACGTAGTCTCTGCTTTTCGTTTGATTTAGAGCAGACGAACTTGGAGCTTGCAGGCGACATTTGTATTTCTTGCCGTGTTTTGACGCCTGGGGACGGCCATGATTTTTGAAGGATGAGCAGCTAGTGTTTGTGTGCCGAACTGTTGGTCGGGTTTCGGCCCGAAGAAAGAAGAAGCGGTGATATTTAACGCGGGCGATGTTGAGTTCGAGTGACTTTGTCATGCTGGGCACATTGTGACCGCAGTGGAGTGCGACGGAATACCGCTGGCTTCAAACCATGTCAAACTAAACCTTACCTAGATGGAACGTAAACAACGGAAAATTTTAAATTGTAAGCTAGTTTTCCGAACACATCAGCAGGCGAAGTGGAAACGACGCCGTCGAGGCTTTCACGACACGCCCAGTCGATTTCTCAGCTAGCCTTAATTTTTTTGCGGTACTCTTCCCCTCGATTATTTTTCATCCAGTGATGTAAAATTGTAAAACTACGGGCAAAAGAGAACCTATATGTTAAATGTATTATTAGTTATCTCGAATAAAATTCCGTGGTTCTGTACAGTTTAAGGAATAAATTGCCAGTGGGTCGCACTGCTTGCAAAAGTAATGAGGATATTTTGTTTTTCGTTTCTTCTTTCCGTGCCACCATCTATGTAGAGTGCCACGAACCTTCCCTAGCGGGGACACAATCAGGTCGCCCGATTGGCTTCGGATACCCCACCTGTGAATCTTACGCCCTGCTGCCAGTGCAGTTTTACACTGCTCGTCTCATTCTGAGGTAGACTGACGATCAACAGAAATGTCATAGAGCGCTATCCCTATTGAAAATAATTCTAAAGGGCCCATCAGCTTTGAAGGATTATGGGATCTCACAGGCCTTCAAAACCCTTCAAAAATATCCTTCAGGTATACCCCTCAGAAAAAAACCCTCCAGCCCCACAGCCCTTCAACCCAAACAAACCCCTTAGCCCATCAACCCTTTAGACTCCCAAATGACTGTGAACCATAGACAAAAATTCAGTTCAAAACGTTACTGAAAATTTATTGCGGACATTGAGTTTTACGTGCGTATTAAAACTAAAAAAGACGATAAAAACCAACGATTGTTCAAACCTGGGCGCAAGCAGCTGTCGACGAAAGAGATCATATCAAATAGGAACAACTAACTTCTTTATCACGACGAAAAATATCTTTCAAACTACTCACAATGCCGTTGGGGAAATTCCTGATCTATGCTGGTTCAGCTAATAAAACGGAGCAGGTGCACCTCACGTGCACATACACAGTCTCAGTAAGCACGTTTAGCGAAAACCACAAACTCGCAAGCAGATCCCGTCACCGTTGAGAAATTCCGAGCACAGTCACGGTTTCGTCCACGATGTCGTCGGGGCGGCGTCTTCGGCGTATTTTTTGCTCGCTGGATGCTTCTGAGGCCGGTCGGACGAAGAGGCGCAAGGAACAAGGCGGGACAGCGGCCGCCATCCACCGTCCCAGGACCCACAGTGCTATGTGCGCAGGCTTGCTGCGAGTAGGCCGACACCGGCCACCATCTCCTTGAATGCGCTGAACACGATGGCGCTCGAGCGGTGCTGAAGGCGGCCAACGCCGAACTGGGGTTCACCTGCGGAACCAAGGAAGAAGCGGCACGGATTAAAACAGACCAAGGGGCGAGCCCTCAAAGCAGTGCTTACCTTTCTGGATGTAGGAAACCGGCCCGTTCCAGATCTCCATGGCGGTGAAAAACAAACCGCCCACGAGCGCAAAGAAAATGGCTATTCACACCTCTCTGTTTGTAAACAACTCAACCGCTGGCTTCCCACTGGCACACCCCTCACGACTTCCGGTTCAAGGCTTCCGGTGCGGCTGGCGCATTGAAAACACGACCGTCTCCGCAGCAAGGCGTACGGGTCGCTCGTTCGTTTTTTTTTCTTTTACCCGGTTCTAGAAGCAGCGTATTAGGTAGAATTCCATGACTTTATTCCGACATAATGTCCTCTTCTTACTTTAGAAAGTTGGAAGAACCGGCGAGAAACCGCTACCGTGAAAAGCTGACCTTCGCAGGTGAGGAGCTTCCAGATCCGCTAGACGCTGATGTTCGCAAAAACGTGTCCTCCACGGACGCTCGCCACTGGCCGCGACTAGAAATAGGCGATATCTACGTCTACCTCGTGGAAGGGATAGGCTTCTACACGAGAGAGCAGTTCAAAAGTTACAAACTAGAAGACGGTTACAACCTGTTTTTAAGCGGAAAGGTACGCGACGCTTGTTCATTTGGGGCTACAATAGAGAACGCTCGCATCGTTCTCATCACCGGGCAAGTGGAAGCTAGTCAGACTCTTGGAAAGTACCACCAGCCTTGGGTCGTGGTGAAGAAAGAGGGCACAGTCCTAAGCGCCCACTGCACCTGCATGGCAGGGTGAGTAGTTCGTTTTTTTTTTCCGTTAATTTTGATCGCTATCGGATCGCAACCACACGGCCCCTCACGTTCCAAATCATTGTGTGCTTACAGGCTCGGCGAGGCCTGCAGTCACGTAGCCGCGCTCCTGTTTCGCGTCGAAGTTGATGTGAAGTTCGGCATTCATGACCCAAGCTCAACCTCTGTCGAATGCCGCTGGAGTACAGCACCCTATTGAAAACCGCTCTGAGGGGACTTCAGGAATTCTTTAAAGAGTGTGAAGGGGACTTCAGGAATTCTTGTGAGGTTTGAAAGGTGCACCGATATTTCCTGGTGGGTTCGTTGGCCCCGTCAGAGGCTCTCCCGAAATGTCTGAAGTCCCCTTTACAATGCCTTGAAATGTCTGAAATCCTGTCAAGAACTTTTCTAATGGGGTCGGGAAAACCTTCAGGCTTCTTGAGATGTCTGTGGGCAACGACCTAGGTGGAGAAAACACATGTCGCAGAATTAGAACATAGCTACGTATTGTTCACAAGGGGAAAACAAATAATTATCTGGAGAATGTCGATCGTATGTGTGCACGGTCAGTTTTTTATTACTGCTCTTCTATCAAACACAGCTGCGCTCCTCGACCCGTCTGTCACTGGCCGGGTTTCGGTCGCCAGGGGGTTACGGGTTCGATCGCCCTATGTGGAGAATTGACAATTCGCGGGCCGAGTGTTGTTGGCCGAGCGGCGTTTTGAGGCGAACAAGCTTTACTTGTTGCACTAATAATAATAAAAAAGGGCAAGCCGAGAGCAGCGTGTTGCCCAAATTCAGGGACGCTGGGGAGATTCCGAGGACGAAGCGGCAGCGACTCGTGCCGGGAACCGGTTTCCCCGCGAAGGACAGTCCCCAAAAAAGAAAAAAAATAAACAAAACCATTTTGCTTTTTACCAGAGTCGGAAGTCCTCTCTTTTTCGTCGTCGCCAAAAACACGAACAGGCAACTCAAATTCCCCCCCCCCTCTTTTGCGATGCCTACACACACACACTGCGCTTCTCTCCGCCCGGATATGGGGAGAGGGTGCAATACCGCCAGTTCCGGACAGCACGCTTCTCTAATGGTCGGCGGGAGAGAATGGTGTGAGGAAGCCGAAGAAGTCAGGAGGCCGCTATAGCCATTTTCTTTCCGCTCGTGGGCTGTTTGTTTCTCACCGCCATGGAGATCTGGAACGAACCGGTTTCCTACATCCAGAAAGGTAAGCACTGCTTTAAGGGCTCGCCCCTTGGTCTGTTTTAATCCGTGCGTTTCTTCCTTGGTTCCGCAAATGAACCCCAGTTCGGCGTTGGCCGCCTTCAGCACCGCTCGAGCACCATCGTGTTCAGCGCATTCAAGGAGATGGTGGCCGGTGTCGGCCTACTCGCAGTGCCTGCGCATCGGGATCATAGCACTGTGGGTCCTGGGATCCTGGGACGGTGGATGACGGCCGCTGTCCCACCTTGTTCCTTGCGCCTCTTCGTCCGACCGGCCTCAGAAGCATCCAGCAAGCGAAAAATACGCGGAAGACGCCTCCCCGACGACATCGTGGACGAAACCGTGACTGTGCTCGGAATTTTGAACGGTGACGGGATCTGCTTGCGAGTTCGTGGTTTTCGCTAGACGTGCTTACTGAGACTGTGTATGTGTACGTGAGGTGCACCTGCTCCGTTTTATTAGCTGAACTACCGTACATCAAGAATTTACCCAACGGCATTGTGAGTACTTTGAAAGATATTTTTTGTTGTGTTAAAGAAGTTAGTTGTTCCTATTTGATATGATCTCTTTCGTCGACAGCTGCTTGCGCCCGGGTTTGAACAAGCCTTGGTTTTTATCGCTTTTTGAGTTTTGATGCGCATGTAAAACTCAGTGTTCGCAATAAAGTTTCAACAACGTTTTGAACTGAATTTTTGTCTGGTTCACAGTCATTTGGGCGTCTAAAGGGTTGATGGGCTAAGAGGTTTGGGTTGAAGGGCTGTGGGGCTGGAGGGTTTTTTCTGAGGGGCATACCTGAAGGGTATTTTTGAAGGGGTTTGAAGGCCTGTGCGGTCCCATAATCCTTCAAGGCTGATGGGCCCTTTAGAATTATTTTCAATAGGGCATCTTCCACTGCTCAGGTATGCATTCAGTGCATGCTTCCGTGTTAATGTTTTTTTCCCCCTGGCCTTCTTTGAATTAGCGGGAAGCATATTCTCGTGCCCAAAGCAGCCCATGCCAGGTGGTCATTTTTTAAAATCCTTCAGAACAAACTACTTTAAAAAATTGGCGAACTAGCGTACGCCGAAAGGCACATGCAGTGAATATCATGAGCTGATTCTTCAAATTTTTAAAGGAGTTTGTTATGAATGCCTTTTAAATGACCGTCTGACCGAGGTAAGCTGTCAAATATTTCACGCAATACTGCAGGCTAGTCGAGTGGCTTCAATCGACTTCATCAAGCCATCAAAGAAGAGGCGGATAAACACAGTCTCAACACCCAAAGAAGTCTTGTCTCACCCAGAGGCAACAGCAGAACAACTCAAGGACTTCCTCAAGGCAGTAAAGGTACTTACTATTCATGACACCATAATAGAAAAACACGAGCAAGGAGACAAATTGTGGCGATAACTTAGGTGGTGAAACCGGCTTTATTTAAAATCAAGGAGAGACCTCTAGCCCTCTCGTGTTAACAAGACGACATTGTAGAATGGGTGCAAATGCACACTTGATGTCGTAAATTGTGGTTCATTGTTAGGTTGACGCCTTGACACAAACTACAAATTGCAGGCTCTCAAGGGCACATAATACAATGTCAACAGGTTACTTTGCTCGGAATGTAGAGAAGTAGCCTCATTTGTTTTGACCCGTAAATATTGAGGTGACACTATAATCGACCAATGACCCTTTCCAGAAATCGGCACCTGACACGCTGGTGCTCAGGAGTCTTACAGACAGCGAAGACACAGATACTGCTGCCAGTGGTGATGTCGATGACGACGAGGATTCACTTCAAGTTCCTGAGACCATCGTGGCCATGGTGTGTTTCTACGGTTCACTTAATGAGTCGGCTGCGAGAGAAGCAACATTCTCAGTGACTGACTGCGACCAGGTGGAACTCCGCAGAGTCCGCACACGCGCTCAGGTTAGCTCGGACGAGTGGTCAAGGCAAAGAGTGGGCAGATTAACAGCGTCCGTACTTGGAAAAGTACTCTCGTGCTGCATTATCGCAGAGGGAATTGTCTCCCAAGTGAAGGGCTATACCAAGACACCCGATGTGTTCAGTGTAAGATGGGGCAGGGAGAAGGAGGTCAAGGCTCGAAATCGCTTCATTGCCGATGAAGCACCCAAGCACAGCGGCTTTGAGGTCCGGAAGTGTGGTTTGTTTGTGGATTCCGAGAGGCCATATTTAGGAGCTTCCCCTGATGGTGTTGTGTCTTGTTGTTGTTGCACAGACGCAGTACTGGAGATTAAATGTCCAGCGTCATGTGCAAACCTTACAACTGACGAAGCTAAGGCAAGACTGCCATACCTTGATGCTGACACACGTCTAAATGAAGATCACTTGCATTATGCTCAGGTCCAAATGCAGATGGCACTTGTTAAAACAACCAGAGCATTCTTTGTCGCCTTCACAAATGTGGACATAAATGTGGAAGAAGTGAAGTTTAATGAGTGCTTTTGGAACACCCCTACTGAAAAAACCCGTATAAAAATTCATACTGGATGACCCGTATATCTCATACGGTGTTATGGGATACGGGTCTCCCGTATGATACTGGGAACCCGTACCTGTACAGGTTGACCCATTCAGATACAGGAACCCGTTCAGATATGGGGCCCGTACCTGTACGGGTTGACCCGTTTAGGTAAGGGAAACCGTGCCTGTACGGGTCGACCCGTTTAGATATAGGAACCCGTACCTTACAGGTTGACCCATTTAGATATAGGAACCAATATTTATGCATGTTCATCTGTTCAGATAGAGAAACCTATATCTTTAAAGGTTTATCCCTTCTGACGCAGTAATAGGAATCAACATGGTGTCCAACGTTTGCAAACGGATGGATGGATCTTTGCAGGTTTAACAATTCGCATGCATTTGTCATGCAAAGAATGAGCATGAGCCAGGTCATTTCAGGTTATACGTGTATTTAGAGAACGCAAATTGGCATCTGCAGAACACCAACAAGAAGCTTAACCTCTAAGCAAGCTTAGAAGTCAAACTTCTAGTTAATATCCTGCAGTAGGATATTAACAAATTTGCATACTGCAGTAGATTCACCCGAGCTGTCCTCTTCCCTGGAGAGGCCTCTCGAGGATGCCTCCATAGGTACTCGTTGAAGGCATCTGCAGGGGAAAAGAATACAACAATAAGTCATGTATATCTACAGTTCCCTGAAAAATTTAATATTTTACTTCCGGCAATTATAAGTAAGCAATTTCCGCTACAATTTATGCTTTGTTAATATCTTGTGATACCATGTAGACCCCAAGAGTAACTTCTTACGATTACGCAGTCTGCTTAAAACAGCAGGCATGCATGATTCGGCCCGAAAGTTTTGAACCAGTTCAGACAGAGTTCAGAGGAGTGCAGAAGCAGTGCGCAAGTCGGGCTGCGGCTGCGTGAACTTAAGCTGCAGCGTTACAAACGACCCTGTAATTGGTTTCCGAAAGACCGAAGAGTTGCCATCTGTTACTGCATGAACGCTGAACTGACTTCGGCCAGCGCAAGATTCTGTGGAACTGAGGCTGAGCTCGTGTAGCACTGGAATAAATCTAACAGGCCAGTTCAGCGTCCATGCAACTTCGGGTTGAATCTAATCAGTCAGTTCTTACACTATTTGAACTAGATCGGCCAGTTCAAGCAAATCGAAAAGACCTAGTGTGACTTTCCACAACTATGCACTTAAAGTTTGCTTGCAACAGTGTGTTCCTTGCATTTCAGTGTTTATGAAAATTATAGACCTTGGAGCAGGGGACAAAAAGGAACGGAAAGACACGAAGCTCCAGAGCTTTGTGTCTGTCTGTCCCTTTTTTTCCCCATGTTCCCGGGTAACCACGTCTATCCTTAACCAGCTCGCCTGCCTGTTAACTTAAGTAAAAGTATGTTCTATAAATCTAAATATGTATATTCAATTATGAACATGGGCCTCTGATTGCCTACAACCTCTAATAGCATCTTCGATCAACTCGCACCAGGATCGCCCTGAAACCAGCACAGTGCACAGCGCTCCTCGGTCGTGCAGCGCGATGTCGGTGCAACATCGAGGACAAACTGCGCCGCGCCGGTGCACCGCGGCGAGCTCCACCTTGCGTCACTTCGCGTTTTGTTCGTTTTTTCTTGCATAGGTCAGCGCACGGTGCCCGTCTGCTGTCAATTTTTTCTATTGTTTTACTCGCGGATTTGACGGTCCCACAGAAATAAACATCGTGGACGTGACTGTCGATGGGGTCACGAAGGGGGTGACAATTCCATATGTATATGTTGGCCATCATTATTGGTTCAAGAAAACGAAACACCAGATAATAGCCGTACCTCGCTGTCATCGAAACGCCTCGCGCCGCTTTCCACGAAGTTCGTGCTTCTCGGGCGCTCCTTGCCACCGCACCAATCGCCAGTAATCGCGGCGATGGTGAGAAGCTCGTCGTCTCGACGTCAGAAGACCCGAGGAGTTATCTAGTGCAGCTGCGAGGCGTGTTCGTTTTTGCAAGATCGCCATCTCGATAGTCTGCGCGTCTGCTACTCCCGCCATCTTCTCGATTCCCGCTCCTGGCCGCAATGCCTGATGGGACTGCCCCCCGGCGCACCGCCGATTTTCTTGGTGCGCGTTGGGGCAACGAAAAGCCGCACCGGGAGGGTGCGCTTCGTTGATCGAGGACGTCCGGTGCGCACCGGTGCACTTGATCGAAGATGAAGGGGCGCACCTCAGTGCCCCGGTGCGCACCGGTGTGGATGATCGAGGATGCTATAACTTATTTCATGCCCAACAATGTCACCATGGGAACAAGTAAAATGAACACTGAACACACAATTCTCGACCGGCAGTCTTAGTGCGAAAGAAAGATTTTGACCTGCAATTGTTGTTCTGGGCATGTATATAAATTGACAACACAGATTTGATATCAAGAACCATTTAACTAATCTAATATCCGTGTTACGACCCTTCAATGGTCTATTCATACGAGATAGTTCCCTGGTAAGAAAACTGAGCACTAGAAAGGAGGAACACCCAAGGTGAGAAGGCGGTTCAGAAAAAATGGGCAGTACTCAAAGGACAGAGCCAAACATAGTTCGGTTGTAGCAGTTCTAGTGAACAAACAGACTCACTTTCACAACTTTGCTAGTGCCAGCTTTTCGTTCAAAAGAAAAAATAAATGCCTCAGCAGAAGGTCCTGCAAGCAGGCCACTGATATCATGGACCTCGCCCAAAACTTGCAGGGATTAGCAGATATTTGCAATGCGGAGCATGTTACTGTAAAAAAAAAAAAAATACATCAGAAAGCACCAAGGCACCTAGATGACCGTGACAAGGTCACTTTACTTTTCTTCATATATTAAAAACAAAGAGGGAGATAGGGCTTCTTCATTTCGGTTTTGCGCTCAGAGCTTCACGTTCCTAAAGCTCGAACTAGTCGAACCGTGACCTTTCAACAGCCTATAACACTGAAAGTTCTGAAAGCCTTGGAATATTTTATCACATTAATTTTGTCGTAGCAGGTTGCAACTTCAGAAGCCATAAGGTTTGAGTGACTCACCAAGTATGAGACATCTGTGAGAAGTGGGCACTTACTGCTGCCAACTTGACTGGAGTCAGGGCCCTCTCGGCGACAGCGCCCTTGAAGCGCCGGCATAGCACCCCAGTCACACTCCGCCCACGCAGGTTCTCCCTGCCGAAGATCCACTTCGTGGCCTCTTTAACGAACATGGAGTCTCCCCGGGCTCCCCTCACGTAGAACAGTTTGTCCTTTTCCACCAAGACACCATGTCAAAGGTGAACCTAGAAATAGATAGAAATGCTCCACAGGAAATGCAGCCAGCCATTGGTCCCGATCTCATTGATCTTTCGGAAACTTGTGCAGACGTCTGCCGCACAATGCCACTTTTTTCGGACGCAGGACATGCAAGGCAGCTCTTCACGCAACATCTTGGGGGTATTCTTTTCAAAGCCAATCACAGAAATTCACCACGGGCACTCACTACTCGTCTCCAACTTCTCAATGTAAAGAACACCTCATCTTGAAGTACAGAACAGAGAGTGGAACAAACATAACTGCAAAAGAATCGCATAGCAAACAGTTCCAGCCACGCATGTCGTCTGCTATGCACACAAAAAAAACACGGAGGGGAAAACAAAAAAGCTCACGGTCGGGTGTAGCCACGTGACTTCCGCCCACTCACTCTCTCCTCTCCACTTCTCCGACCTCCGTGCGCGGGTTTCAGTTTCAGTTCTGAGCAGTTGCGTTTTTTGGCTTTAATAAAAATATATGTGACTGTTGCAAAATATTAATTTGGTAGTCTTTCGACACCATTAAAAATCGGCTGGCCAAAAATGAAAACTTTTATTGGGGGGTTAAGTGTCCGTTTAAGTGAGTTCAGAGTAAAGAGAGAAAGCGAAAGGAGGGTACCAATTATAACACAATTTTAATTGGGCTCTTTGGTACATGATTTATGAAAAAGCTCGAAATAAGACAAGGACACTAGATAGAAAACGTTTCAGAAAAGTGCCAATTAATTGGGAAAGAAATATCTTATCAGTGCCCGGCCCTACTCTTTACATTCAACAGCATTCTGAAGCAGCCCGATGGTTCAATTTAAGGAAGCATATAAATAACCTCATTCAAGGAGCTGTGGAAACAATAAAATTTAGTCACTCGCCCAATATCTGGAATGCATATTCCATGAAATTCTGAACTTACCTCGTCATCAGCCTCTGCAAGCACTGGCACACACTCGGAAAATGCCTCCGGCGGGCCTGCTACAAGATCCGCTGCTGGAACAGCAGCATCAGCGGCCGGTACAGGTCGAGCGTGATCCACACCAGCTCGCACTACGTGAACTGAAGCAGGAGCGCCAGCTGCAGGAACCACTGCTGGGCAAGCTGGAGGAGCTGACCCAACACCACCAGACGGGACATTGTCCACTGCAACATAATAAAACACTCTTTAGAAACAAGACACAGTTCAGGAGTCAACCGACTTTTCGGACGCCAAAAATTCAGACAAGCTTGATTATTCGGACTTCAGCACTTTCCTGGTTCGTTGATGGCATGAGGGCTTCATAGTACTTCATGCCACAGAAGACTACCGGCAGTGTGCTTATTTGTTTTTACGTAACACACCGGGACTGGAAAAGTAGCGCAAGCAGGACACAAAACAAAAGGATGAGAAACAAAACCAAAGAAGAAAAAGAGGAAGAAAAGAAATGCGCTCAAGTTCGCCGGCAGTGGGCGGCAGAGAGGTTGTTTAGTTTACAAAAAAAATACCGGTGAATAGCTAATGAATATTCATGCCAAGCATTTCCAACGGTTTGCGAGATATAAGCTCAATCTTTCTGACGAAATCCAATGCTGTAGCAGATCGTCTGCTCACCTTTTAACCAGTTGCACAGTTGCGTCGCTAGGCACAATCTGCCGCCCGATTAAAGTTCAGCCTTGTTGGTGCTGTGGTCATGCCTACGACCAGCTTCCTCACTCCCTCCTCCTCAACAAAAAGAACTCCTGTCTCCCCAATGACGAAAGGATGTGTGCTGGCCAGGCTCATCAGAAAGCGCATATTTAAAATGTTTTGACTGACAGAACAAACTTTCACTTCAAGCCTCATCTATGCGCACAGACCATGGTGTCTTGGTATGACATAATTGTTTGACATACTGCAGAACCAGAAAAATATTTCTTCAATCAAAGCAAAAGTGCTGCCGAGCAAAACGGGCTCATCGCCATCAGCAACAAGAAACAAACTCTCAAAGCTCCATTTGCACCCTAAGAGAAGAAAAGAGAATTATAGACACCTCTTAAACTCATTGATACATTGAGGCACCCCTGTAGTATATGCTTACTTCTGTTTGCGACCAAAAACAAAAATATTAAAATTACTTTTGATCCCTCAGATAAAGTGTGAGCACATAATGTGTAGTGTGTGAGGTAAGCAACTGAAAGTGCCTCCACGCTTACCTAGTAGTGCCAGCAGCTGCTTCTTGATAGCGTCCTCTCTATCTGGGGCTCCTGCTCCAGGTTCAGCACCCTCTGCTTTGCCGACCTCAGCTTTTCAACCAGTCGGGCATGCTCCCCAAGCGACACAGCGGACGTCCTGTCCTCTGTCTTTTTTTTTTTTTTCTTGTACTTGCCACCCACAGCAGGGGATGGCGACATCAAAATCTGGAAAAGAAAAAGGTCCAGGTGTTGTAATATTTATTTAATATAAACTCCAACACATAATTGGGACACACATAGTTCACACTAAATTGCTCCCCCCCTTTATTTTTTGGGTGCAGGTTTCAGCCCTATACCTGTGATTGCCCCCTCCCTGAAGAAATGCTTCCAGACGCCCCTGACAAGATATCCGGTATTCACTGTCAGTACAGGAAATAATTGGTATATCGTCCTTTACATACTCTAGTGTGTAAAGGACGATACCTGTTGTCAGAAAACACTTTGTAGGTAAACGAAATAGTATGATAAAATATTGTGTTAAAAGGTACTTCTAAGTTAGAAAGTAAAATATGATAATACTACTTTGCTCCCAGTGTACTTTCTATGAGGAACGTAAACTCTCAGTTGCTTTGTACTTGCAATTCAGTGCTTTTAAATACGATAGCATCTATAAGCAAAGCATATGCACTTTAGGCGTCTGTTGGTCCGAGGATTTGTAACTGCTTTTGAAAACAGCATGTGCCGGCACATTATAATTCAGAAAAGAAAAACATGCCGCCGGCACTGCGCCTCAAACCCACAACCGTTGAAGTCTAAGCCGGGCATCGTATCCGCTTCACTACGAGCATACATGGGTAAGCATTTGCGAAAGAGCTACTGGTTGCAGGCAAGAGCTGCGTTGATGCACGTGCCAGTGACTCAACGCCGTTGTTGCCATAGCAATGTGCGCCGCATCTGGTCGCAGTCGCACATAGCCACATCTGAGGAGAGCTCTGTGAACCAGACTTGAGTATCATCTTTCGTTGTCGGTATGCGAAAGCAGGTCTCACCAGAGGAACATTACGCAAGCGTGCTGAGGCACAGTGAAAGCAAAGTGCCTAGGGTACTTCGGAACAACATAAAACATGTTTGTTGAAAGCTGGAGAGGCAAGTAGCAACAAGAGGACCATTGAAGCGGATGAAAAGATTAAAGAGAGGAAACTTCGGCTGCAACACAAGCAGGACGCCAAACAAATGAGGACGTCTTGCGATAGTGGAGAAGAGATGTAACTTCGTGTACAGCGAGATTTTGACTTGACTTAGAGCAGGTGAGCACATCTCGTAAGACTGAAGAGTGTCGAATTCAGATTTAATGCGGTCGAGAAACGAGCAGGAGAGTGTCTCTTGAAATTGAAGAGGGACAACTGCAGCTACAGCACAGTCGAGACCAGGAGTGGCCAAGCTGCGGCACTTTGTGTGTTAAAGTGCGGCTTGTGGTCCACTTTCATAGAGCGTTCTACCCACCGGATCTGTGTACCAGAATAGCAAGCAATTTAAAAAAGTGTCTGTACAAATAGTCCTGACCAGCCATAATGAATGGACACAATTACTCATAAAGCGAACAAAATGCAAGATATTCTTTAGCCTAACCGTTCAATTTTACCCACAATTACTGCCCACTGGTAATGGAAGTGAAGTATGCTGCTGATTTGAAAAAGGGAAACAAAAGACGAACCCCCTCCTTCTGAACAGAGTCGAAGATGAGGTAAGAAAAACAGCCTAAAGGCACACATAAACCTCGAACCTTGAGTTCAATACCATAGGGATGGCCACGTGCTTCTTTTTCAAAGCAGCAGCCAACTCAGCTCGTGTCTCTGTAAAACAAAACATGCACACTGAATTACATCTCAAAGTCGTCGTGTTCGTCTCCCTTTCCCTTCTTGTATCGGGGTTTATAAATATGACCGTTCACCAGCCAGCCTGCGCTATAACCCTTGTTTCAAAAATTATTTTTTTCGATATTTTTACACATTAAATGCACCACCTAGTCGAACTTATGTGGCAAATTTGTCGAGCTTACAAAGCCGATTTGTTGCGATTTATTTTGAGTGTCGTGGCTACCGTCTGGAGCGCCCTGTAGTTAAACAACGTAAAACCCTTTGATCTTGCCGCCCAGTTCTTCACAAATCGGGCGCAAGGACCGAATCGGGCGCAAGGACATATTCGTGCCCACCACATTTCGCGAATTTTAGACGCCGGAACGGGGGACGCCGGAACGGGGGCCCACGAAATTTCCGCTTTCCACGTGTCCTTAAATTTCGCTAATTTTTGGACGCGTGGAATTTGCAAAAAGTCGGGGGCTGGCGAACATTAGGGAGTGTTCGTAGACCGCGTTTCCCCCTCTGCAACGAAGATGTGCCTGCCCGCCGATAGTCTTGACTGTAGAGTTCCGGGTATATAGCGAGTTGCGGAGGGCGTTGCGGGACAGCGAAAACGATCTACGAAAACTCCCTATTAACGGTTTGCAGTATACGTTGCGCTTCGAGCCCCTGATGCGTAGACAACAACTTACCATTCCCCGGCGCACGCTCCAACAGCCTCCCAGTAGACGCTTTTCGGCACGTCGGGGTCGAAGTCGCCAACGCTCGCCGGTTTGAACTTCTTGATACGGTTCACCACGCTGACTATTGCCTTCGAGCCATCAATATAAATCACGTACGCTTAGTACATATCGACACCGATACACACCGATCGAGATAGCCCTAACGTCAATGCGGCTTTGGTTCTCTTTGACTGGCTGGCACTGGCCGGCTAGCCAGCGGCGCTGGTATGTAAGGATTGGATTGGATTAAATAAATAATCTGCCTTAGTTTATATTAATACTATTATTACTCAAAATAGTTTTAGAACATTTAAAAGCATAGAAACTTACCATGTTAAGTTTATTTATTGTTAAGAAAAACATTGTCCGTCGTTGGTTGTTTTTCTCCACTCTGGCTTGCAGCTACGAAATCCAATCCAATCCGACGTCAATAAACCGAAACCGAAACTACCGCGGTACAGGGCTCAAAGCTATGAAGCAAACTCTCGTTTATCTCGGCCTCGCTTCCCATGGATTTGGTTTTCTCATTTTATGACTTTAAATATGCATGTCATAAAATGGTTGAGTTTTATAGCTGAAACTGTTAAACTGAAATGACCTAATATGTGATTTTCTGATTAAAATTCTTCATTGAAAAAAATATCAGTTTAGTTTCGCCGTGAGCGCGTTCCCGTCGAGGTCTGATAATTTCTGGTCGCGTTAAATAGACCGATCTCACCGGCCAGTTTGACTACGCCACCGCTGCCACAATGCAGCGAGGGAACTTTAGTCTTTGGGCACGTGCGACAACCTCGCTGGAGCTCTTCGCGTGCAGAGCACGAGAAGGCACGAGCCCTCGCGTGCACGGCCGTCTGCCTCCTGTGAACTAAAGTTATGGCGGCTTTACGCATGCGCCCAACGCTTAGTGAGATCGGTCTATTGTGTATACCGCTAGAGCCTGTACAAGGTTACCGACCGCCGGTTTAAGTGCCGGCGCCGGTAAGGCGTTACCGGTCGCTCCGATACGTGGTTGCTGTTAGCCGCGCATCGATTACTGGCCACCGGTACGTTATTACGGCCCACCAGTGTGGCGTACCGGCTTCGCCTGTACGTGTTCACTCGCCGCCTGTACATGATATGGGCAACCGATACGGCGTATCGGCTTCGCCGGTACGTGGTTACCGGTTACCGGTGTGGCCTACCGGCTGTTCCCGTACGCGTTTACCGGCCGCCTGTACAGGGTATGGGCAGCCGGTACGGCGTATCGGCTTCGCCAGTACGTGGTTACAGGTCTTCGGTACAGAGCTACCGGTTACCGATATGAGAATACAGGACTCCGGTGTGAACCGGTATAGGCCGGTATACATTTGTACAGGTTTTTTCAGTTGGGACGGCCGTCAGTGAGGCAGAGGAGTTCTACTTCAGTCACATTTTCCCTGAAATTCATGGCAGAGAACTGCTGAAAAAAATTGAGGATGCAAACACCATGTGCATTTGTAGAACACAGAAGTCCGGATCTGTCCTACGATGCAAGGTATGTAATGTAGCCGTCCACCTGAAGTGTATGAAACTGCGACGTACGCCTATAACATGGGTGTTCTTAGTTTGTAAACTTGCAAAATAGACCTACTGTTTATCGCAAGTGGGTTAGTACCAGTGGTGTCAATTTAGCAGTTTTCTCGCAAGATTTAGCGGAGTGGTGTGTTTAGCTAGAGATATTGTTTACTTGCGGATGGCGGGATTTCCAGCGGTTTCAAATGTCTTATTCTTGACGGTTTCAAATGTGCTTCATCGGCAAAAAGTTCATGGTGATTTAGCAGTTGGTTAGTAGTCAAGACAAGTCAAGATCACCATCCAAACAGCAACAGTGCGGGTAATACTCGTGACATTATGGAGACATTGTAGTGGAAAACTGCCGAACACGACACTTGCGCGCACATGTTTGAATTTGTTTTACAATTCGTAGGAAGAACGCTCACAACATTATTGGTGGTGGGCATCGGAACACGTAACTTGTGAGACCACGTTGGAGATGAAGTCGCTGACATCTTTCTTGGAATATGTTGTGTTGCCACCAGTTTTTGGTCAAACAAGTGAAAGAAGAGAAACCTGTAACTGTATTTTTTAATATGTATGGATCTCGTAAACTAATCAAGGAAATAAAATGTTAAAAAAATATTCTTGCACAACATTCTAAATTTGGCGGTGTTTCGGAATTCTTAGTGCGGGTTTCTGGTTTCTGAGTCGGCAACGCTGGTTAGTACAAAAACCACTGCTCATGCTTTGTGGTGAAAATGGACTCTGAAGTTGCCGGACTTTTGTTGCAGTACTTGGCTTAATGATACCGAGTTTGCATGCTAAAAACATTCTGGTACCAAAAATCAAATTAGGTTCAATCATATTATAGGATTCACTTCTCTTAACGGGGCGATGAAATGATTCTTTATCTCTTCTAAATATTACTCGGAATGACTCTTTTTGACAATCATAAGCCAAAATGCATATTAGCTTTTTTCCACGAAGCAGCAGTCGCAGAAAAAAAAAAGTGCTCACTCCCCCAGCAAAACATGTCGCCATCTGATCTCGTGCCGATTATGTCTCTAATGTTCAACATAACCACATGCTGGGAACGCCAATGTACGGTGGTCACCAAACTTATACGGAATAAGCGAACTGCAAACTATCTCATGAAAGAGCTATCCTGTCATGCTTATCAAGTTTTATTTCCTGCTCACGACGAGAGGCTGCTTCAATCTTGTCCCGAGCAGCCGCAAAACTTGACCAAGCCGGCCAGGGTAGTGCTCCCATGTAATAATGCAAAGTTATAATGTTCCGTACAAGTTTGGTGACCACTGTGCGCTGCACATGGTGCTCTCTCGGCTTGCTCCGAGTTTGGCTATTCCCCTCATGACAGTGACTAACTCCAAGTGGAGTGCTCATACAGAGTTTGCATTTAGCGATAACCACGGATGTGTCAGCTGCAAAATGGGCATGACGGATATATTACAAACACTTAATGCTCAAGGAATATGATCATTTCAGAATAGCAGTACCAAAATACTGTGAAGAAAAAAGAAACACTTACACTTTTTGTAAAGGAATTAGCCACAATTTCAATCCCAAAATCTCTTGCAAAAACCTACCCCTGTAAAACACATCATCCGGGTCAGCTGCACTGCTGAAGCACAGATGCCCCGACAAACCTATTTCTTAAGCAGAGGGGGCTGCAGATTTGTCAGGGCAGCGCAAACAATCAACGCTTTGTCAATTGTGTAAATCTCGCCATCATCACGCTTCTTTAAGAAAGAAACTGGTAGAACCATTTGAAAGATCCTGAACACTTTGAGCCGTCTTATTGCCCGCTCCACGTGGATGCGAGCACGAGACAGTTTGCGGGAAAGGGTTACCTCCGCACCCGAAAGCTGATTTTTCCCTTTAGTGAACGCTGGTATTAACAGCCTGGCACCTTTTGCAGCAAACATCTCTTGGCATCGAAATCCCCTGTCCACGAGGTACACATCCCCTTCATTCACAAGGTTCAAGAGTCCAGACTTCAACGTCAGTTCCTTATCGGAAACCCGTCCCCCCATGCCCCCGAGATGAAAGTAACGGCTCCACTTGGTGACACAGTAATAAGCACCTTGAGAGTATTATAGTGCTTATACCTGGAATACGTCTGGCTTCGAGCCAGCATGTAGGCAGGTTTTTGTATAAAAATCTCTGTGCAGTCTAGCACACCAATCACATTCTTGAAGATGGGATCACCAAACGCAGTTGGCAGGTTGCGGCTGACAGCCCGTCTTGAGGGCCATACAATCAACTTCCCGAGGTTATGTGAAAGTATGTCTAGCCAGGCGTGGAATACTGCGCCAACTGTCGTTACAGACACCTTGAACCTGCATGCGAGGTCTTCATTCAACAAACCCAGCCTCAACTTCATCAGCACCAGCACAAGCTGCTCCTGTGGCAGAAGACAAGTGACGTCGGGCTGCCACACACTCAAAATGAACGTCAGGAGTGCATTGAACAGATGTAAGCTCACAATGCCTGTGTAAAATTTAACTCTAATGTCTGAGTGCAACGCTGCCTGCGTTGCAGAATCTTTGTTGATGCCAGCAATCAAATTCAGGTTTGTAGCCTTGTACTCCTTGAGCAGCTTGCTGGTTTCGTGTAACTGATGCTGCGTTTCAGCAAGGGTACTCTTCAGGCTGGCGTTTTCTGCTTTCAGATGTTCAATGTCCTTGCTTGAAAGTGTGGTGGCCACCGACACATCACATCTGGTGCTAGACTCACAACACACCACTGCTTCGATGTTTTCTGGGTCAGTGGGAGCCTGGTCAGACGAAACATCCTTTGGCTCGGCCGCCCCTCTTTTTGTGGACCTTGCCTGTTGACGGTTGTACCTTTGCACATTTTGGCTGGTGGGTGCCTTTCGATAGAGAAACCGTGACGGGGCATAATCTGGGTGCACTGGGTCGTCTGAAGGAGCTCCTGTAAAAGGAATAGGAAGACACCTATCAGTTCATATGGAATACAGGGTACAAGGTCATTCATTTCCAGCCCCACTTTTTGTGCATTGACTTCATGCATACATAAATGAAGAGTGTACACCCACACTTTGCTAAGGCGAGCGCCCTCTTTTGGAACATGCCACGGCACCCATACAGGAAGTTGGCCAGGGTGCAGTGTATACCATTGGCTAGATTTTACTACTAATAATACGACAAATTTAAGTTAATTAAAGCTGGGAAAGACAGACATAGTGGGGACGTGTCTTTCGCAGTTGCATGATTGCGCGTTCAAAACAAAAATGGCCTGGTGGGTACACAACGCTTTATAGAGCAGCTCGTTGTGAACGTAAATAAAAATTTAAGCTTTGCCCCAAAATTTAATTCGAAGCCAGTGTTTCTGCTCGTAAAGCTAGTCACCATTACACTTCTACCCGGACAAAATACCGAGCCTCTGAGTTTCCGCTGTTACCTACACAATTTTAAATTGTAAAAAAAAAACAAAAAAAAAACCTGAAGGAATGCGACACACAACTGGGAATACTGCGTTTTCCTCCTTTGTTTTCACATCGGTGTTGACACATTCGACCGTGAACTTTAGTCATAGCGGCAAATGCAAATCCGGGATTCCTAGAGGCGCCGCGGAACACTCGTTACTGGACCTAATCGCCCGATCCGTGCGAACCAAGGATCGAAATAGCGGCTGCGGCAAGCAAAATCAAACGGTAGGCTTCTAAAGCGAGGACACTACCGGAACCTTGAACGAAACTTGACCGGCTGCTACCCTTCTGTCTTGACGGAACGCTCGTATTTCCGTTTTTTTTTAAATGTGTTTTGGACAGCGCTGGAAGTGTAAATCACCACTCTAGACAAATAAAAACCTTAGCGGCTCACCTTGTATGAAATGGGCCGAGCATATTCGGCTGTCGTTCGGTTTCCACTTGTCCCTGTTCATGGGTTGCAGCCACGAAGCTCCGCGCTCGGGGTCTGCCGGAAAGCGGTGCATTCTCACAGTGGAAAGTAAGTTGGTCCCCGAACGCAGGCTGCAACCAGGGACGCTGCAACACGTTCCCTTGCTTGGCAGAAGACGGTTCGTTTGCAAATACATATCGGTCGGAGAGTTTAATCTAATCGCGAAAAGACAAGAAACTTACGAAACGAAAGACAAGCTGCGTCGCGGGCACAGCGGAGAAGAGCCGCAGAGCGAGACCGACCGGAAGTCTCCATGGACCCTTTCCGGTTTGAGTGACTGGTGGCGCCCTCGTGATGAGCTTTAACCGAAATAAGGTGAATAGCGGCCTCCTGACTTCCTCGGCTTCCTCACACCACTCTCCCCCGCCGACCATTGGAGAAGCGTGCTGTCCGGAACTGGCGGTATTGCACCCCCTCCCATTGCCGGGCGGAGAGAAGTGCAGTGTGTGTGTGTAGGCATTGTAAAAGGGGGGGGATTTGAGTTGCCTGTTCGTGTTTTTGGCGACGGCGAAAAAGAGAGGACATCCCACTCTGGTGAAAAGCAAAATGGTTTTATTTTTTTTTCCTTTTTGGGGACTTTTGCGGGAATGCCGGTTCCCGCCACGAGTCGCTGCCGCTTCGCCCTCGGAGCCTCCCCAGCGTCCCTGAATTGGGGCAACGCGCTGCTCTCGGTTTGCCCTTTTTTATCATTATTAGTGCAACAAGTAAAGCTTGTTCGCCTCAAAACGCCGCTCGGCCAAGAACACTCGGCCCGCGCCTTGTCAATTCTTTACATGGGAGCGATCGAACCCGTAGCCCCCTTGGCGACCGAACACCCGGCCAGTGACAGGCGGGTCGTGGAGCCCAGTTGTGTTTGATAGAAGAGCAGTAATAAAAAAAACTGACCCTACACACATACGATCGACATTCTCCAAATAATTATTTCTTTTCCTTTTGTGAACAATACGTAGCTATGTTCTAATTCTGCGACATATATTTTCTCCACTTAGGCCGTGTCCCCACAGACATCTCAAGAAGCCTGAAGGTTTTCCCGACCCCATTAGAAAAGTTCTTGACAGGCTTTCAGACATTTCAAGGCATTGTAAAGGGGACTTCAGACATTTTAGGAGAGCCTCTGACGGGGCCAACGAACCCTCCAGGAAATATCGGTGCACCTTTCAAACACCACAAGAATTCCTGAAGTCCCCTTCACACCCTTTAAAGAATTCTTGAAGTCCCTCAGAGCGATTTTCAATAGGGATACAATCGAGCACAGACGAAAGATGAAAACTAAAGGCCACAATGCATGAAGACATATTAGTGTTTTAGAAATTGCACATTTCTTCTATATTTTATTCCTAGTTATGGGTGCTACAAGTACGTGACCACAAAGAATGATGGTCAACAAAAATACGAACATCCGAGCGCGTACCTTTCTAAGCCTGCAGAATACTTCGATAAAAATAGGTGGCACTTTTATGGCGAGAATATTATCGGCGTTTTCTGCATTGGCATTGCCTTCACCCTTGACTACACCGGCGCGACATCCGCAGTTTCGATAAAAATCGCTCCTTTGAATTGCTGCCCTTAAAAATCTAAGGCCCGTTAGTGATAACGTACAAGCTATACCACGCAAACTTGAGCCCCGTTATCTGGGGCTCTAAACTCGTCAAGGACAAAGTTGGAGCCGAAGTTTCAAGAGCGCGCCGATTGGACTATCACGACGATGATTTTGTGTTTTTGTCACCAAGGTCAGATCGGTGCGCTTCGCGAACTTTCGGCTCCAACTTTGGGTTTTACGAATTTAGGCGCCCTGTAGTGCAGAGTAACCTCGCTACGGTGTCATCTGTTTCAATTGACAAGGGTCGTCTTTTACTGAGAAGAATGATGCGCTTATAAGGCACAGGCCACAATGCCAGTCGATTATTGGAGAACGACGCCTATTTCAAATGGAACAGGAACTACTTCATCCGGATGACTAGACGGAATCTGTCAATAGCGTGGCTGTGGCTGCACAAACGGCCGCTCCGGTGCCACAAAACCATGCCTAGTGGTAGTAGCAGCAGCAGCATTCTCGCAGCCGGTCACTTGAGAGCGCGGCATAAGAAAATGGTCACGGTGAAAAAACAGAATGATAAAGCTGTCTTTTGCTTTGGAGACTGCCTGTGTCTTTCACTTCGAGGCTACCTTGGTATCATTCGGTAGCCATCCTCTTGTTCGTATTGCTTTTGAACATGAGCACATCAAGTTTCAAGGGAGTTTTTAAAGACCCGTACGTCATGAAGGAACCTTTAAGCGCGTGTCAGGTCAACGAACCTTTTCCCAGTAAGCCTCTGCAGATGTGTACACTCTCTCCCCTACCCTTGTTTCCGGTGTGGACATTTGATGTGGCCACCGTCTCTCACGAAACACAACGCCCGCACCTACCTTTGGGCGTAATTCGCATGTTTTCACGATTCTTATAAGAGCATCGCTAGTTTGGGAATTAAAAAGTAATAAAAATTGGCACAACGTCACGATACTAATGTATATTGTCGGGCGGATGCACAATGGTTTGTCTTTTTTTTTTGTGATTCAGATGGCACTTACAGTTGCTCGCTAAATGTCGAAACAGCTGAAGCCGTTAAACACATTGCGCTCTCAAGCGGCAGATTTGGGAACTAATGCGGTCGAAGTGACTGATTCCTTGCAATGAGTTACTTTTTCAAAAAAAAATTTTGCGGAAGTAATTTGAAACGTAATTACGTTACATATATTTGCAACATATTAGTTTAATTACACGTTTATTTTTTTAAGTATAAGTATAATTCAAAAACTGGGGCAATATGAGAACGCAATTCAGCAGCATAAAGATAGCAAATGGGTCAATATAGAAAACATCATTAAGGGAAGAATAACCGTAAATAATGCACCATTTTTTGCACGACCGTTCATCAGAACCACTAGAAAAACGGTCAATGCAGATACAAATATGTAAGAAGTAAAAACGTGGAAGAAAAGACCGCGAAGGCTGACTTTTTCTGTCGCCTTCCATCGTGTTTTTCTTCTTCTCCTGCGCAGTCTAGAGCGCATTGTGTTACCTTGCTTTCCCGTTTTCCCAATTTCACCCTTTCCAACTTTTTGACGTCTCCCGCCGCCAGCACAGACGTCTGCGAAAGTGCCCGGCGCATTTGAAGGTCAGTTTGTTAGTTCCAAATCTTTTAGCAGAGGTAGACGCTGCTATTGAGGATGAACAGTGCTGGCATTGTCTGCAGAGATCGAGGGATCATCTCCGATCGCCGTAAGCTAGCCGGATGCCGATTCTGGTCAGAGTTCACAGTTTCGTGAGCTTACAGGTGAGGCAGTATACCTACATTATTTTACTGAAATATAATATTATATTTATTACAAAGACTGCAAACACTTGGATGTATCAGAAATGAAAAGTAGTGTTGAAGAATATTTTGTAAAACATTGAAATTGTTTCGATTGTTTTTTGTTGATAAGTGCGCCGCGCGAGAAAAGTGACCTGAATGTAAATTGTAACATAACCAGTAAAGCAATTTTTTTTATATTAAGGAAATAAATTTGTAACCGTAATTTATTGCCTTTTTCAAGTTACTTTCACGTGTGTGCTCATGATCAAGCTTACTGCCGGAACATCCGGTGGATTTGTCGAAACCGCCAAACAACGGTCGGCTACTACAGGGTGATTGAAGGAGAGGCCAGGCTCTTTAAATCGACCGCGAAATTCGGTTTCTTAACCTATTGCGCTACGACCTTGTGCAGCGTTGCCTACAGATGGTGCGTTTTTTTTTTGTAAAATATGCTAAGAGCGAACTTACCCGAGGAAAAAGTAAATTAAACAAAATGCTTAGCTCCTAAGGAAACGCAGCGAAGCTACCGGTTTTCAAACAACACGGCGCCGTTTCGCACGGGAGTCAAGAGGTGGCGCAAGCGGTGGCGACGCCAACTGCCGCCAACGAACGAGCATACGAGGCCGAGAGCCGGCGTCTTTGGCAGACAAGGAACTGCAGTTCCTTGTTGTTACCGCGCCTGCTCGCGCCTATCGGCGCCTGCAGAACGCGCGCCGTTTTTGAGTCGAAAAGATCGTCTGCTAAAAACGCCGGCTTTCGGCGCCGTATGCTCGTTCGTTGGCGGCGTTCATTGCGCTATCTCTTGTCTCTCGTGCGAAACGGTGCCGTGCTGTCTGAAAACCGATGGCGTCGCTGCGTTTCTATAAAAGCTAAGCCTTTTTTTTCTTTATTTTTTTCTCAGGTAAGTTCACTCTTTGCAAATTTTACAAAAACAAAATGCACCATCTGTGGGCAACGCTGCACGAAGTCGTAGCGCGATAGGTTAAGAAACCGAATTTTGCGGTTGATTTAAAGAGCCTGCCCTCTCCTTGAACCACCCTGTAGACGAGGCCCTCCCACGCGACCAATTGCTGGCGGAATCATTCGGCTTTTGAATACGTGAGGCAGCTTAAAGCGTGGGTGTTTATATTTTATTTATTTATTTATTTAATATTGTTATCGTCCTTTTGGAAGTTGTGGCAGGAGGCGTCGGCACATCATACTGACCAACAGCTTATACATGAAAATAATGATATGTAGTGAGTACACCATACAAGTATACAAATACAAGGAGAAGCAAAACAAAACAAAACGGTCAACCTTTCACGAACAAACTTTCAAAGTTGTTAAAAATAATTCGAATGACGACGAGTTTATCCGCGCTTCGAAGAAACTGTTCCACTCTTCGCTTGTTTTGGGGAGGAAAAGTGATATTTAAAGGTGATATGACAGGTCCTTGGGCTCTATAGGACGCTTTCCAATGTGACTCCGAATTACACTCAAATCTGTGTGACCATCGAATTGGTTGAAAGTGCCGATCCCTAAGGAGCTGAAGGAACACCCTTCCCATGATTCCTCGAGTGCGGGCCGGGGCACTTGGCAAATTTAGCAAATGGTATATTGAAGATAATAAAAGTATATAAAGTGCTGATTTCCGAATTGTGTGCTT